AATAAATAGCAACAACAATATATCGATAGATTGTGTGATAAAGTATATTTCCTATACATTCATTGAAATCAGCAGATGGGGCTGTGTTTTGCTCATCAAGTCAATTAAAAACCTGCTAATAAACAAGGTCCCTCATCACACTGAAACTGCAATCCTGTTCATCGAACACTGCAATAAAGCACTTACAACACTGCCCACAATGGTCTGGGAGATATTTAAAGAACAAAATAAAGAGGTATAAGTGGTGTTGCAAAATCTTAGATTTCTGCTGATATACTAAGTCTAGAAAATCAGTTGACTGATTGACATATACTTAATAATAAGTAATTATTTTTGACTAATTGATTAATTTATTAATTTTTAAGTAAAAATTGAAAACATGATGTAGTTTCAGCATCCTAAATGAGAATTTTTGTTACTTTTCTTTGTTTTATGTGATACCAAACTGAATAATTTGAGACTGACTGGACCAAGTAAGTCAGCTGTGGACAACATCTTTGGTTTCAGGATATTGTAAAGGGCATTTGTCACCATTTTCTGACATTTTATATTCCTAAATGATTACTAAAGAAAATTAAAAGCAGATGAATCAATGACAAAAGCACATTTTATATGTAAGTTATAAGCAGTCCCACAGTAAAGAGGTATTATCATATGGCACAGGTTAGATCACAAGGATGTGACTGAAGGGTAATGTCACGTTACATGATCACAGGTGATACTAGAGCTGAAACAACAAGTCGTTGGACTAGTGGAATGACAAAAATTATTGGCAATCGTTTAGAGGATCAAAATAATTGAAAATTTGTTGGTTTCAATGATGTGAACCTTTTTTTTTTCATATATGACTGTATTGTGACGTGTGTTTTGTGATGTATCTGGGCACTGTGGTGGAGATTTTTTACTCATTTTACACAATTAAACAATTAATTGACTAATAACTGTCCATATCAGCAATTTACATCATGCAGAGACGTGGTTGATGCAAAAAAAAGCAAAAATCCCCAAATGTCCTGTTTTTGATCTGTTCTTGGTCATGCCTTTAACAACCTGGAAAATACATGTTAATGCATCATTACTTCATCAAGTAATACAGGAAGAAAAATGGGCATGGTATAATATAGGAGAAAAGCACTGACAGAATGACCAGAGGAGGATTTATGAGACTAAATGTAGCAAATGGGCAAAGTTCAGGTGAAAAGGTAGATGTGTAACAATGGGCAGTAAATGTACATTTAGTATTTTCCCATATTGACTGTTATACTGAATCAATGCACACATTTGAGCAGCACAGCAGACAGTGACACAGCACACTGCTAATTTATAAGTGTGAGGACTCAGAGTTACTTCCTAGTCAGACTGACAGACCTGCTTACTTAATCCTGCATCTCACATTTACTTAATTTAAACCAGAAGTTCTTGCTATTGTACTAAATAACACTCATCATTAGAGATATTTGACTTCTTTGGTCAAAATGAAAAAAGGGTTTGAATAAAACCTGTTTATATTTCCCAGTAAGGTATCTAAAAAAAAAGGATCTTGTTGGTATTTGAAGCAAAACTTGGGTATTGTCTAGCTGGTGTGAACAGGAGCTGTAGTGAAGCAGTGACGCTTGCAGTATTAAGTTCTGCAGATACTGTGTAAGCATAAAAGCATGATATAAATTACACTTGGATAAGACCCAAAAACATGCAGTATTACAGCAGGCTAACAGCAGCAGGTTCCCACACTGCAGGCAAATGCCAGGCCTCCTAACAATGCATAGAGAGAGTAAAAGCATATGCCAGCCTAGCAGTGAGTCAGGAAAAAAAGATAGCAGCTGCACTGTATGATTCAAACCATGTACTTCAGCTGGGACAGCAGTGAACATCACTGCCCTGCTCGACAGGAGCTTCATAATAAGCAAGACATGCTCTACAAACCAGTGGCAAGAACATTGTGAGACTGTAAGGGTCATACTAATACAGTGTGAATCGTGCAGTAAAAGCCAAGTCTGCTGGCTTGTAACGCCACGATGAAAACACAGTGGACTAACACACTCATGTCGATACACTATCTTCAGACCTTGACCTGAACAGAGGCCTGACACTTTGCCACTATCACTGCAGAGGCTTTGCAAGTGCATCAAAAGTAACATCTCACCTAGAACATATTTAGCACTTCATAGCTGCACCATGGGGCAGTAGTTTGCCTCTGAACCTTTATACTCAAAAATGTGGAATGTTTTTGTTTTTGTTTTTTTGCCACTTGTCCTAGCAGAAGCTGTCACATCCATTAGATTAGATGGGAAATGTTCGTGAGCTTTTGGGCAACGTGCATGCTTAGATTGTGATTTCTGGATATGGAGCTTCAGACAGGTCCCTGGGCTTGTAAAGAGGATGCTACCACCACCGTGCTTTACTGTGGAATAGTATTATAAGTGATTAAGTTTATTTACTTCTCATATGTCCTTTATTCAGAACAGTTTATATCTAATAAGCCCAATTAATAGAAGGAGAGAGCAGAGAAATGATCAACCTGTCAAGAAATCGTCAGTAAACAAGCAGGTCTAAAGAAATCAAGATTGTGAAAAATGTCTATCACACTCTAATGTGTCTGCCTGGCCTCTGTGATGCCAGGTTGACACATCCCAACTGCAAACAAAAGCACAAAACACTCCACATAGTGTCCGTCTGTCCAGGCTAATGTGAGAGTTTTCTAGGCTGGACGAGTGTTTCTAAGCTGACTAATGTCCACGTCTTTTATCTCAACAATTAGCTCCTCTCTGCTCTATCTCATCTCCATTTCAATTCAGCCAGAAGCGACGTGTCAGGTGACACGGGCGTTAAATAAAGCAAATCTGGAAAGAGAAACAACAAACACAGAATAACCAGTCACAGGCTGGACCCGTGTCTTACCTGTGAGACATACCGGCGACAGGTGAAGAAAGCTCGCAGAAACAGTCCGCCCTCAGCCCTCTGTTGTTGTGTCACTTCACTACAGACTGGCGTCCTCAGTGACTCACAAACCGTCCTAACATGCCGGACAACGGCTGAATACAAACCACGAAAGGCGAAGATAGCCGGCATCCGTTCATCGATCCTCTCCGTGAACCATAGCCAGTCCAGGAAATGTTCTCGCTGCTGACAGACAATAAAAGACGAAGGTGTTGTCTGGCCCCTCTAGCTAGCAGCCGCCATGTTTCGCTGTCTAGCTGTCAAACGTCGTGTTGCGTTCAGGGCTCCTCGGAAACTTTGGGTCGGAACGGTGGACAGATGTTCATCTCATAAAATAAATTACAACCTCTATTTAACCTTTTTGTTATAACTATTTCAGATTATTTGTTTCCTTAGGTAATTTAAGCATGAATCAGATACGCATTTCTACTGGAACAAAGTACCACAAATATATAGATGCAAGTTTATTCAGTGCATTCAAGTAACGGGTTGCTACCAGATTTATACCAGTTAGATGCATCTTGGTCATCAGCGTGTCAGTATTATGTACTAAGGATGGGCTACTAAGCAACGCGAGCAGGTCAGTGCCAGCTCAAGCCTGGTCTTATGTAATCCCTGGAGTGCTCCTTGTGTGAGCTGTGGCGCCACCCCAAGGCTCAAACATGTCACCACCCAAGTTGTTCTCGTTAATACTGACCATTTATGACTTCAAATTCATCACCAAAACATTAATAATTATGGATAATGAAGAGGGGCTAATGCATAAATATATATACATGCAGAAATAAATCCATTTCAACATTTATTTGTGTATTTCTACAGCTGTATATTTATGTCTGCATTTATTTCTGTATTTCTACATTTGTTTATTCTTCCTGTATTTTTTCTGTATTTACTAATGTCTGTATTTCTGTGTTAATAAGGCGGCCTAACTTTACACAAAGCCATTGCGTGTAGTTAATGGAAGGTAAACATAGCTAATTTGTCTCATGCAGACTGAACAGGAATTGCTTGCTACTGTCTTTTTCATCCAACTGACCGGTTGTGTTCAGACTGTGATTTGGACCACAGCTTCCAATGAACATATAGCCACAGAAGTACAAAAACAAATTCATGATGAAACTAAGAAATACAAAAATTAGTAAAAGCAGAAATACAGAAACAGCCTTAAAAGACGTTGAAGTGTAGAAATGTAGAAATCAATTCAATACATATATTTTATTTGAAAATGTGTAATTTCTCAATATATTTATTTTGTATTTACACTTGGTCTCTCCTTGCCCTCCCTAAAGTTCATCCAGGCTTTATTTAAATTCAGTGTGAAAGTGGGCCGATCTTTGTAGAAACTTACATTTGCTTGCTTTTTTTGGTTATAATTGAATAATTAGGTTTAACTGGCATTTAAACATAGTAGGCTATATTCACAGCATATAAGCAGTATAAGCAGAAGTGCAACAAGCTAGGGCTGGTTCCAAAACAAACATCCATTTAGTGTTTCAGTAAGAGTTTCTATGTAACAAAGGCTGTAGAGACAGTCTGTCTTTGTTACTTGTAGCTGATAACATGTGATGGAACATCAGCTGTTCTCCTGAATGTTACATGGCAACCAATAATAAACACTTAAGACAGTCAAACTTATAAGAAACTGCTTAATTTTTTTTTCTTTAGTTCATCTTTACATTTGTGTTAAAATTGTGGAAGAAAGACTGAGCAATTTAATTGGTTTGGGGTTTGTGACACTTACCATACAAATACAAAGACAAGTCATGTGATATTATGCACAAAAGTCCATCAAAGACACAACAAGAGGCCTTAAAAATTAATATCACTAACTCAATCCAGAAAATGAAATGCATAGATCCATGAAAGGCTGCAAGAGTCACCTGAGCTTCCACACATTCAGCTGTTTGATGTCCAGACAGTATTTCTGAACGTTCAGGTGTAATAAGTCCCTCTGTTCTTCCTGACTATACCCACAGACTGAATGAACTCTCTCAGTCTGTCCTCCCAGTCTTTGCACCAGTTATGGCTCCGCTCCAGGTTCTGGTAACGAGTTGGCAGCTTTTCCAAGGCCAGTACTGCTTCAGGCAGGTCAAAAGTCAGACCTGCCCTCTCCACTGCTGCCTGAAACTTGGCTGGAGATGCTGTTGCAACATAACACCTGCAGTAAAAGTTTAGTGATTACTTACAGAGCTGGATGTCACACATGTTACATGTCTCTGTCTAATGATAAAATGGTTTAGAACGGATACATTTAAAGGGGGAGTCACAATTGCCAAATTCTAAAATAATTCTAAAATGCAATGAAAAGAAAAAGTACATGAGCCGTTTGGAATGACTGGCTTATCTGCATTAACTGTTGATTAAAGTGATTTGATCTTTGTTTAAGTCACAAGTATGGATAAGCACAATATCCATCCATTATCTATACATCGCTTAATCCTCACTAGGGTCGCAGGGAGCTGGAGCCTATCCCAGCTGACTTAGGGTGAAGGCAGGGGACACCCTGGACAGGTCACCAGTCTATCACAGGGCTACACTTAGAGACAGACAACCAAGCACACTCACATTCACACCTACGGACAATTTAGAATCACCAATTAACTCCCATAGTCCAATTAAAATACTGTTAACGTCTAAACTAGTTTATGTTTACAATGACATTAATTCAGTATTTGACTCGTTACCCTGTAGTGTCTTGGTAACCTTCCAACTAATGGCACCCATCATACCCATCTAGTTAGTAAAAATGTTGCAAATAAAGGCTGAGGAAGTCAGAGGGCAGGTACTACTTGAAATGCACTGATCTATCGAAGTACAGCTGAAAAAGAAAAGCTCTCTTCTTCTTCTGGTTCTTTGCTTTTGTTTTGATTTGTCTTTTAGGTCTTGACAGATTTGAAACATTTTCTGCTTCCTAAACATCAAATGTTTCTGTTGAAAACATTGTTTTGTGCAGCTTCAGCTGACATTCTAGATTACAGCAACAAGCATACACTTGTTTCTATGAGGCATCATGTTTGACTGCATTTCTGTTCTAGTGCAGGTACACATTTGCTCCCGTACACAGTCTCCTTTACAGTTTAAAGTAATCAGAGAGTGATCAGTAGAGTGTCAGATGACCTGAGTGGCCCTGCTGGTACCCACTTTTACAACAGAGAAGTCAGAATTAATGTGTGTATCTGAATAATTCAGTATGTTTGACCTGTTGATCCCGGTGCTGTGAGGACAGTGGTAGTGGTGCCATACAGCCACAGCTGTGTGAGGACACAGCACATACTGGTTTTCCCCCCAGCATCTCCTCATGGTCTCCAGGATCCCTTCATCATTCACTGTGCCAGTCAGCAAAACCTGTGACAGCTACAAGTAAAACAGAGGGAAAATTATACAAGCATTGGTGGTAGATGGGTGGTCTTACTATACACACAGAGAATAAGCATGTCTGGATGTATACAGTAGGTGCAGTGAATGCTGAATGACTGGTACCAGTTTGCGGTGGTTTTCAGGCAGAGAGTGCTTATGTAAATGTTGAAATTCCTCCATCATGATTTTCACTGACGGTCCGTTTCTGCCAAGCAGCAACCAAAACACTCGCTCCATGTTGTACGGGTCCTACAGGCCACAAAAAAAGCAGTGGGACACACAATTCTGAGAGGAGAAACATGTCACTGCAACTTTTAAAGTCCTCTCCAGCCGCAGATTTTTTTCCTACAAAACTCACTTCTGTGTGTCAAAGGTACATATTAAGAAGTTTGTTGCATGTTCTCCCTGTGCAGCGTGGGTTCTCACCGGGTTCCTCCCACAGTCCAAAAACATGTTTAAGGTTAAATGGTGATTCTAAATTGTCCGTAGGTGTGAATGTGAGTGTGCTTGGTTGTCTGTCTCTAAGTGTAGCCCTGTGATAGACGGGTGACCTGTCCAGGGTGTCCCCTGCCTTCACCCTAAGTCAGCTGGGATAAACTCCAGCCCCACCATGACCCTAATGAGGATTAAGTGGTGTATAGATAATGGATGGACGGATGTTTATTTTCCTCAGGGGATTACTCCTTCTGGTTTTAAAGACGTTTTAATCTCATTACTGCAGACCAGGAAAAGTTGCTGTGAGTTGTTGTTTCTTGGCATTTTGTACATACACAGCACATGTGCGTACACAGATATGAACAAACAAATGAGACAAGATGATGACAATTATGTCAAGGTTAGAACAAACGTTTTTACACAGCCATGTCTCGCCATTGGGATTAAAACAGGATGTCCAACGGAGACAATGTTAAACAGTTTAAGATGCACGTATTTAATTGCTGCAATTTAGGATAATGTGACTGCATGTTTTAGTTTCAAACTCAGTGAGATGAAAACCAATAATTGTTTATTTAGATAAAAATTCGCACATTTTTAATTTGCTCAGCAAAGTCTAAATGCAACCTATTATGCAGGCTTTTATGGACAAACTAGGTGCATGTTTGATTTTCTTTGGCCTCACTTTGACTGTATTTAAGTCTCTCAAATTCTGCATATGTGCTATGTTGGTAATGCTTTATCTTATTACAATTCGCTCCAACAGCAACCTTTTTTTTTACCAACTGGTATCACTGTTTCATCTCATGTCATATTAAATATAAACATATTAAACTGCTTTTGTTAAATGTGGCTGAATGGTATATTTCCATTGAAGGTTGAGTAAACCCAGAGTTAACTAAACCAGTTGGTAATGTGTGGATATGAATGTGTTAGCTTCAGTAAGGGCATTTAGACCAAGAGGAGACAGACTAAGTGTTTTGTGATCCAGGTTCCATGTGGGAGGAATGATGCTGTTCAGGAGTACAAGTACCTGGGGGTGTACTTGGACCACAAATTGGACTGGGGCAGTTTTTTTTTTTTTTTTAATCGACATCTTTAACAACCCCTCTGACATGAGTGGTTGTAACTATAGGTAGTGTAGCTGCAGTACCTGGATGTCTATAGCAGGGGCCAAAGTTTGCGTGACGTTAGTTGCCATGGAAAAGTCCCCGGTGGTTACTGTCCTGTGCACTATGTCATTAGAATTCACCATGGCAACCAGTTTCAGGGGCAAGCCCATCTGCTTTACGATGTAGCCAGCTGAGACACAGACAGAAAAAACAATAAAAGATTAAGAAACATGTTTCATGTGAGAAGGACAAAAGCTTCAAATGAGCTTTTAGTTAAAGGACAAGCGTCTCTTTTCAAAATGGGATTACTCTGATAAAGTAGCATCTTATTTTTATTTTTATTTTTATTTTGTCCTGTCTCATATATGTGTACCTCTGTTGAATGCTGCTACCAACAATGTGAATTTCTCCACTGTGAGATAAATAAAGGCATATCTTATCTTATCTTATCTTATCTGTTCTACCAATATGACTGCATAAACTCACACAGATCAATGATTAAACATAACACCTATGTTGTAGAAACCTTTACTTTGGATCCTTTTAATTGGTGCTACAACAATTTCCCGGTAATCAATTCTCTGTAGAGTCTCTCCAAAATGATTAACTGATCGGAACTTATCACAGATATAATCAGTGCAGGGAGAAATATTAGGTCCTTTATTTAAGTAAAAGTACAGTTTATCACAATGGAAGTGTACTCTGACACAAGTAAAAGTGTTGCAATTAAAATAATACCTAATTAACAGTACAGAAAATATGTAAAAGTGCTCATTATGATGAAAAATCTGTCTGATCTAAAAACCTCAAAGACCTGGAGGTGAGGAGAATGAGAATGACATGTAGCAAATCAAGTCATGGATTGTGGCCACTCCTATGGGGACTTTCTGCCCCAATTCATGGGTCGCCCGCTCCTCCAGGGGGACACCTAAATGCTTGACCCTTTTAACCTTCCAAGTATGACAATATTCTCTAGTAATTATGTAACCAGGGGGAAGAATATACAAGGCAAATAAGATATCAGCTGTGTAGGATGGAAGTAATCAATCTACCTGCTATGTTTCCAGCCCCTCCAGTGGGAACCACCACCTCCAGCTCAGGCAGGGCTGCGCCAGTGTCGACCTGCTCCATTCCACTGAGCTCCAGGTAAGCATAGATGAAGTGGGCAAGCTGTATCATGACTCTGGAGAAGTTGACCGAGTTGAGGCTCATGAGGCCCTGAGACTTCACCAGGTCCTGGTCCGCAAACAGACGGCGCAGAGGCTGGTCTATGTCATCTGAGCTGCCGTCCGCTGTCATAAAAAAAACACACCACATTCGATTCTGAGAAAATATCTTGAGAATAAAACTCTGGCTTTTGGTCGAAGAATGGTCACGATTCTCTCAGTCTCCACCAGTACCTGCAAACACATGGACATTATCCTGCAGGCAGGAGATCATGTGTCTCTCTTGCACTGGAGTGATGCATCCTCGGGGGTAAACCACCACCACATCCAGCCCAGGGAGACCTTTGGAGCTCTGGATGGCTGAGCCACCAGTGTCCCCTGATGTACCTGGAGATCAAAACGAGAAGCAGACTGACTCAGATACATGACATTTATTATCAAGTGTATAATACTGTCTATCTGAAAATATGTAATCACCTAATTTAAAGGAATTATTTCACCAGGTAGCGCGGATTTCTAGTAAATGCAATAATGGTTTGATGTAAAAGTAGGAAAGGTCTTCACATTTTAGTGTAATTTAGGATTCAGTGTTTGCCTTATATATGTGAATTAACAAACTCAGTTACTAAGGCGTCAGAGCATCAAAACGGTTTACTGTTTTTTAAAATCTGAGAAAGTAGGTAAAATGGATTTAGCTAAATCTATCCAAGCAACCTTCAGTTTGTGATTTATCCCTTCTTGTCTAACTGATGTGAATTTTGAAATATTTTTTTCCCCACAAAAGCTGTAACTTTCTTTGATACAATATTGTTGATGATAAGGTAAAATATCTAAAAACATGAAGCCCCAAAAAGTCACAAAAAGGAGTATTCTTGCATCACTTTGCAACAAATTTTGTATTGTGTATTATGTAGTCGATCGCTGCTGGTAGTAGCCACAGTGAGTGATAGTACATCCTCAGCAGTGGCTGTGTTAGTGTTAGTCAGATATACACTGACTACATGTAGGGGTTGTGTATTTGTGTAAGTAATGCCTGTGCTTGCTGGGCGTTGTGCTGAAGCTACCCTGAATTCCTGTGGTATGTTGGTAACACATCCGTTACAGACACCCTACAGATTAGAGTAGATATATCCATAGCATGTAAACAAAACCACAGCTGCACCTGAGGTCTAAGCAGCAACCACATATCCAATCACAGCATCACCTGTCACAGCAGGCACGGCAGCTATGGTCGCGATCACAACTAGCATCTGGATGCTGTCGGAGAACGGCCTTTTGAAATAAGTAGTAAGCACTAAATGCATCACACAAAGTCTTCCATCACCTCTCCTTTCCATACAATATGCAATGTTTTCCTAAAAGTGTAATATAACTGCTCTGGATAACCAACTGTTCATACTGATCAAGAGCAATGTAAATCATTTCGCAAGGAAGGCAAAAGTTATTAAGAGAAAACACAGAGGCGGTCATTAAAATCCTTTTGCCGTGGCCATTTGGAGACTCCATACAGAAGTAAGATTCTAGTCCTAGCTAATTTGTTTGTAACCAAATGTGTGGGGACTGTGTTTTGGCTTTGGAAGGCAGAAAACCACTGTGTTGTGCATTTAGTATAGCTCATAGTCATTATGAGTCTTGGAACCAAAGGAGGAACTTAAATGATGCTTGCAGATTTAGAAAGTCAGTGTAGGAAGGAGGTCTGGGTAGATGGATTGGTTTATAAACCTTACCATGGGGAACCAATGTTTGTTTCCTTTGTTCTACTGGCATTCAACTTTATTTTTGTAAATGATGGTTTAAAAATCTTGCCATTTTTGTAATGATGATAACAAGGATCTCCTACCTTCAATAAAGTAAACGTTTATGAATCCAAACCACAATATTTCTCCAATCTTAACAAAGCTCAATTATGTTAACCCAAACCATATTCTTTCCCTGACAATTGTTTTTGTGCTGACATCTGATCGAACCTTTACAAACGCAGCGTAAGATTGAAAAAGGTTTTATTTTTAAAATACTGATTCTGGTTTACTCTGTCGCACTACTCACTGTATGAGATGCAACTGACATGACTATTGTTTAAAGTATATAACTCAAAGTATATAAAATGACAATATGAAAATCACAAAATCACACAAAAACAAATGAAAGAACATTAACTTTCATTCATATTTATGTCTTTGCAGTTTAGGACAGGTGCAAAAAATTGCAAAAACAAGTTCTTTATATTTTTCAAATTTAAAAATATGTTTTTTCTTTCTTACCTACAAGAACCATCGCTCTGCGATTCTCTTTTCGAAGAAAGTAGTCAAGGAAGCGCACAGTGCAGGTCATAGCTAAGTCCTTAAAGGCCAAGGTCTCTCCATGGAAGAGCTCCAGGACAGACAAGCCCTCTTTCAGCCGGGCGATTCTGACAACCTCAGACACAGAGAAACTAGACAGGGCTTCAGCCACCAGGACTGAGAGATGGAAACACAAAGAAAGTGATTGATCGATTAACAATTAGTTGTTTTGTGTCTATCAGCTAATAGATCTAAACTGACTAACCGTGGCAACTCTATTTTGCAGCATATGTTCAGGAATTCAGAAAACTCTAAAACTGACATGACTTAACAAAAACAGGACTTTTGGCCCTATGAGTTATGTTGAAGATCTACCTTGACCTCCTGTTATGATCCCTTTACACATCCATTACGATCAAACTGCATGTTGTGATAGTACTGAATAGTTCCCCAGCTCACCTTCCAGGTCATCTCTGGGGATCAACTGAGTAGGAATGAACAGTGAGGCGACCTCCACCACCAGTTTGGTGTAAGGCAGCCCCTTCCAGCACCTTAGGGTGTCTGAGCTGAGCACAGGCAAACTCTCTGGCATGAACATCCCTCCATCTGGCGCATAACCTGAAAACAGCACATCCCGGAAGTCCCATCCATGGACCCCACCGCGAGTACTGCAGTACTTCATCTTGCAAACCTGTCAACATAAAAGTCACATATCTGCCACAGTTCCATTCACACTTCATTTCCCAGACTGTCCTTCAAACCTCAATTCATAAAACATCTCTTTTAAAAGTTAGGTATATAATCAATACAGTCGAAAGACCACCTGAGCGATGCTGGTTTGCCAACTGGGTAAAGTAAGCGATTGGAACAAGGGGCCTAAAAAAGGCACAAGTTTTGATGAGTGGGATTGGTAGTTAGGTCCCCCAGCAAGCTACACTTTCCAGCTCTTCAATTAATAATTGCATAAATCAGAAAAAATAATGAGTTGCTAAAGATATAAACACACCGAAAGGCTAAAATGGTTACAATATCTAAAAAGGACAGTATAAAAAAATGAATATGAAAAAAGTACAATTTGTTTCACAAAGATACAATATGTAAGAATGTAGAACTTCATAAAAAGCCCATGAGTTTGAGCAGCTTGAGCAGCACATATTTAGAAGCCTGCTGTAACTGTTCAGAGGTCTGTGCTGTAGTAGAAAATTAACCGTCACCACCGTCAAAGTTTCACTTAACGAGCGTTCATGGCTGATGGCAGCTATCATACATGCTAAGTAAGCACATATTGCATGTAGCTATTACACCAGCACACAGAGCACTTACTTACCACTCTGTAGCAAAAATGTAAAGGTTTAAACAGACTTCTTCAGCAGGTACAGATGACTTGGTGTCAGTTGTTGCTGCTTTGTAGATAATCTGCTGAACGAAGAGTCACAGATCTTCTGACAAGGTGTTGACCATGACAAGAAAGATAACAGTTGAACTTTGGATCAATCTTCTGGAGATACTACTTACTTATTCTGAAGTAGGTCTAACTGGTTTACTTTAGATATTCTATCCATAACTGGTGTTCCTGCACATTTGCATTGTGACTATTTGCTAATATCACAAAATATGCATGTAGCACTGCCACAGTAGACAGCATCATTTCATACATACCTAATACATGTGTCAATAGTTCTCACTCACTTTGTCTCCTTCTTACAGCTGTCTACTGACTTGCGTTGAAGCACATCATTTGTTGCAGCCAGCGCACTTTGTAATGTCTGTGTGGCACAGGAGGATTGTGTTGACAGAAACATGACAGGAAAGCTCAGCCTGCTGCTCTATTCAATTCAATTCAATTTTATTTGTTTAGCGCAGTTTGCAACATATGTCATCACATAGTGCTTCGCTCTATCACTACACAGAGGTTTAGAACCAGTCCAGGTCAATCAGAATTTACTCAGATTTAAAGCACAGCTGTGCTAAAGTGAGCCTCACTGCTCTGTCATCAGTTAAAGTGCAGCTAAACTGGGTGTCAGACCCTCAACATAATGCTGGGAGGAGGCATGTCAGAGGAATGATTGTGATCTGCACTGTGGTTCTGTGTTTTCATAGTTGGTGACATTTCTATATGACATGTACACAGTTAGTAACTCTGTGCTTTGTTGCATCAGGGTTACTAACTGTGTAACTCAATATCAATGATAGCTGCCTATGACTATTGTTACATAACATTGTTCTAAAGATTTTATTCAGATTATTCTATATTTTTATAAGATTTTATTGTATTATTCTACAAAGCAGCAGCGACTGCGAGTCACCTGTTAACTACTGTAGAGGTCTGTTGCGCATGCTCTGTGTGCTTACTTAGCAGATACTTCGCTGCCGTAAACCATGAACTCTCGTAAGGTGAAACTTTGACAGTGGTGATTGTTAACCTGATGTTACCTCGACAACTTCAAATCCTGCTTCTTAGTTCAGGCGTCAGGCGATAATTACCACTTGGTCAGTTTCATTACAGCCTCTAGCTTACCTCGCACCACACACTGACGGCAGGACGAGTGGCCACAGCGGAGGTCCAGAATGCATCGCTTGATGGTCACGTGATGAACGGAAACGAAAGATATTTCCTGGAAGTTCCACGTGGGAGTTTTGAATCTGTAAATAAAGAGCGACAGAACTGCTACACGGCCATAGGCAGCAGTTCGTCACCTCGTTACCTCCTGGTCGTCATCTTGCATTTTTTTAAGCCAGGGAATATATATATATATATATACACACACGTTTAGCGGCTGCTGCTGTGTTTACTGACCAGCTCAACTGTACAGGAAACTGTTACAGTCATCTTAGTAACTTATTGTACTCTTGTCCACATCAGGATAATATTACAAATAAAAGCAGTAGCCTACGTTATTGTAGCTGATGTTAAGTTAACATTAGACTGTATCCTCTGATAATAAAACATGTTCTAATATTCTCTACGGTTAGTGAGGGTTTACAGAGAATCAGGTTTGTCTTGAATTAGTTAACTTGTCTGTAACTAAGTTTCCTGTAGGTCACAGTAGATCAATGAAAACAGACCATAATGCACAGTCTTTGAACTGCTGCTGTCTCATCTTTAATGATCAGCAGATAGAAATTAAACTAACTTAATGTTCCACCACAGAACGCTGTTACTGATGGATGTTCTCCCAGTTCAATGAATGAAGCTCAGTTCAGTTGTGTGACTTCATGTTGCTGTTATTCGGTTCAGAATCAGATTGTTAACTGTGTTAGCAGATTCTGTTCATTTCACTGAGAAAAAACATCTGTTGAAATGATTCTCTCTCTAGGTTTAGTCACCATGACATGAGCATCACATCGAACCTCAGAAGTGAGTGACAGTTACTTTCTACTGCTGTTTAATGTAAAACAATACAACAGGCTGTTTCTGTTAAGCTGAGCTGAAAGATCAATGTATTGTCAAATATACTCCAGCCATCACCTGGATGGTGAGGAAAAGCTTCGTCCAAATAAAGGCTTGAGAGCTACATGAGCATGAGGAAGAATCTTCTCTCCGTATTCCTCTAGTCCCTTTGAGGAAGAGCAGCTACCGATGTCCTCCTCATCCTCTGCACCGAATGACCTGAAGTCACGGCAGCAGTGACGGTGGACCTGCAGCACCTCCAGCTGCAGCATCTACACATGAAGATCTTCTACTCTGGTCCCACACAGAGATGCACTTGGAAGTCAGGTTCCAATCCAGGGAGGACTGACAGGCTCACAGGGTTGTGAAGAGAGTTATTCCTTCATATGTTTATGTTTTGAATGCACAGACTGCTGCACTGTAAGCCATATATGAAGCATTATTTCATATTATCAGTTCTCATGTTTACCATTTCTACTATATACTATTCAGTAAAAATAAAGTTGCACTGCAGATTCAGCTCCTTCTCTTCATAATACACACTTGTCTTGTGACTGTATTTACTCTTTATTGTAGGCTGTGCACTACATGATTGATCTGCTTATTACATTTGTTTATACACCTTTCCACCTCAAAAAAGTTAAAATGTAGCTTTCAATGTGCGATAAAGGTATAGATTTAGCTCTTACTCTAAATGTGTTGATGTTTATATTCGGATATTCATCATTAATTGGGCCCAGGAAGTGCTATTCGGACCACCCCCACCAGTTATTATAACAACTATGAACAATAAATTTATAATTTATTAACAACAAATTAAAACTTCAAGCATCAGGCCCTCCTTGTATCTTGACCTCCATCTTGACAATCTGACAGCCTTGCGATCTGACATAAAAGAAGGTTTTACATTGTATAGTGTACATAGTGTTGGATCATTGAGTCATGACTGTATAATATAATATCCTATACATATACCCCTCTGGAGTATGTAGCATGCTGGCTTGTTGCCATGCCAACCAAATAATAACAAAGTTGCAAAATCACCAATATATTAAAAAAAAGTCCAGACAATTTAAACCGTCCCGTGTTAAGAACAGTAAAAAAGGCTATTAAAAGCGATAAAAAGGTCAAAAAGACATAAAAAAAACCCAGAATTACTCAGTGAGCCGACCAGTCAACCACACGAGTAGTGACCCGGAAGCTCAACTACATCTTTCCAACACCAAGAATGAAGGATCAAAAGATCCATGTAAAGTTTGTGCTTTCCTTATGCGTGTAATCAGCACGTTGCTGATGAGGAACTGTACGTTCTTCTTGTAAAGCAGTAAAAACAGTGCACATCTGTTACAGGAGTTAGATTTTGTTTCTGGAAGTCCTTCTGGTTGGGCAGTTTATAAATGAAGAGCTTTTTGATATCAAATTGGTAAATACGTTCACCTGTGAGGTTGTAGGTAAGAGACATTTTCAAATATGACTTAAATTCATAGTAATAAGTAGCTTAAAAGCACATTTGCTTTATTCCATCATTCATTTTAATGCACATCTGCAAACATGTAAAAACATATATATAGGTCTTAACACTGGAGAATTTACAAAAATCTGCTTACAAAATTTAAAATCATGCAAATAACTAACATAAAACATAGAGGATAGTGAACATGACCCCCCCTCAACAATGCACACACACTCACGCACACACTCCCCCACACACAGACACACAAAGCCATCAGAATAGAAATAAATACACAATAAAAAGAGGAGCATGTAGATGTAATTAGTAACAGTCCCTCAAAAAATATTCACTCAACACTTGTGCACATGATAAAAAATACTTTCAAATGCAAAATGTCTTTGTTTTGATCTTAGAAGGCATGCTCATTCAAACTGAACAGAATATTCCAGACATCTATAAGTGGGTCTAATGCAGTAATGCAGGTCAATGACACTTTAAAATGTTGATGTTTACAACTGCTTTTTCCTGAACCACGTCAGATAAACTCAACCGGTGCATCCAGCTTGTAACAAACCCCCAGTAACAAAGGGTGTTTAGCTGATCTTCTCTGCACGTTAAAAGGTGTAGTATAGCCCAAAGCAAAGCTTGAAAGATTTCACTTGTATGTAATAAGTGAAGTTATCTGTAAATCTCAGCCTCCTTCTTATGTATAGCCAGTCTGCATGGTGTCCACATATTTCTGCTGCATCCTTCCACAGTCAAAAACATTTGCTATTAGTCAACAGCGTTGTCATTTTTTATTTATTTTTTTGTTGTATTTGTGTTAGTCCTCGGCCCAGAGGTCATCTGACAAATTTCCATGCCAGTAACTTCATCATGTAACCAAAGGTCAATTGCTGGTCTCCACATCAGCAAAGCTAATCATGATGAAAATGTCATTAACTGTAAGTCTATAAGGGTCTTTGAGCCCACAATTTGGGACCATGTGGAAAGTGAAGTAAACTGGACGCTTGTTTCATACACCTCGTGCATGTCATGGTGCTGTATCCCATATCCTAGACTTGGTTGCATACTGAGTTTTAGCCAAACACAATAAACAAAGGAGCCGCAGTCATGAGGTCACCGTCATTTGTTTTCTAGTGTGCATGTATGAAATAAGTCTGTCAACACATAACCCTACATCTGTGCAAGTCTGCTGTCCTTCCTTGAGCGTGATCAAAGCTCAACTATCAATATAGGTCAGGATGACTGACATGAAAGCTGTCGATTAATTAAAAAGGATGAGTCTGTTGCTGACTGCAGTCTATTTTGAGTACAAGTACAATATTCATTTCAGTGGCCAATGTGAATTAATGCACCATGAAAATGATTCTCAACAAACACACCATTAACTCCTGTCTTCGTAACGTTTGCTAAAAACAACCAGCTGCTTTAGGGAATCATGCACGGTTTTCTCAGTTTAAACAAAAGAAACTTTATATTCGTGGGCAGTTGTCAACTAAAGTTCCTGGATTATACAGTTAGTGTTATCAGCACTGGTTAGTTTATTAAAGGTAATAAAAGCAGTCATTAAAATAAAATAGCTGTTTACCAGGAGGTGGGATTTAGTGGTTTTAGCTGTAAACATCTCAGAAAAGTGATGTCAACCTAAATTTGATAGAAAAGTCAATGATGGCTCATGAGGCAAGAACGAATGAAAAGCAATTCTGATTCATCATGACGTACTGAGCAAGAGTACACTTTTCAGTTAGAACAAAAGAAAAGTTAAATAACATTACTTAAAAGCACTGTATTGTTACATATTGTTGGTTAAATGTAAACAAAGCGAACACACGCACGCACACAATTAATGACGACATTTAAATAATGTGGAACTATGATGCCCAAGAGTAGATTGGAGCTTCCATAGCAGAGAAAAACACAGATGGTGGAAATCAAGAGTTTTCAACATCCATCCAACTTCTGAGGGGTGTTAAAAATTATACAAAACTACATTTTACTTGCCCTGGATGTGGCATGTGTTCTCATTTTGGCCATGAAGACCAAGGGTCATGTTTGAAAATCCTCCACTGTATGCAAGATTAGATGATAGACTTTGAATGACCTCTGCAGCAAAAACTCTTTGTTTTATCCTTGTTCAGCTTTCTGTGGAGACGCATTTCATCACATCGCTTCATTCGAGTATGCACTTAAGGACTCAATAAACAACTTACTTTGATTTTTTAACAGTTCACTTCTTCACCAATTAGTCTTATTAATATGAGTTTGCACATATAAACTTACATTCAAATTATACTTTAGACTCGATCAAGCCACGTACAGTCTGCCACATAAAACATATCGCATGTACACATCATATGATAAAACCAGAAAAACATGGGAATTAACACTGTCTGCTGAGCAGTGTTGGTGTTTCACACTGAACATCATATGGTTAATTCTGCAAAATGAACCCCAGGCTAGCTTAGCTATTAACTCCAATATAAAAAGGGATTTATTTCCTTAAAAAAAAAAAAAAAAAAAAAAAACATCAACTGTAGGCCTGTTTACAGCATGAACAAGAACCACTTTTACCTGCAGTCTCATTCCATAATTTTTTATCAATTTGTTTATATACTGAAATCCAGAATATCCAATATAATCTTAGGTGTTTTTTATTTTTAGCTGATGTAATGCTAACTAGCTGTCTGTAGCTAGTGGGGATGTCACAA